TTAGTGCAAAGTCTATGTTCATACAACCAAAAACTTATATAAGTGCATTTTCTCATTCCTTGATATTTAGTTTTCTTAAGCATGAGCAGAAAATGTATAATATTAATAACATATATTATGGTAGCTCGCATCTTAAGTAAACAAATAAATTCAAAATTATGGCTAATTCTCATCTCAAGATACCAAACACTACATCAATATCAACTCTTGGGACAGTAATATTAACAGTAAACAATACCCTTGTTGTAGTAATCAAACATTGACAATAAGCTATGTCAAACAAAAGACTAATCTTTGGACTAATGTAATGCTCACATAAAATACCTTATAATTGTCACATGTTATTACCACATGTATCGCTTGAAATTCGGTAAAATATTAAATTTCCTTTGGGTCCATTAATAAATGCATAAATAACAAGAAACACATAATCATCTTGATATTTTAAATATATCAGTCTACACAAAAGAGGTCGCTTTGGCGACATTATGTTTAAACTAATCTATCAAAATATCAAGCATAGCCATAATATGAATTAATTTGTTTTAAAATATATATAGTCTAAAAACCAACAATTAAAACTGAAAGCTCGAATTGAATATATGCATATATTGTATTAACAATATAAATAAAACCATATAAATATTGTCAATCAATCAATTTCGCTTAATTTTATCTTTTAATTAAATTAAACAATAACCAAAATAATAATAAATTTGAATCCACTTAAACCTTATCTCAAGATATCATATACTTCATTAATATTTTATCTTTAGACTAAATATTCACCTTAAGGGATATCAGATGTGGTAATCAAACACCGATAATAAGAATATGTCAAGCAAAAATCTTTCTTTGGGTCAATTTATTACTAACATATCAAACCGAAAATTATCACATGTTTATTATCAAAGTTGTACATAAGATTATGTCAGCTATTAATCTTCTTTTTGGGTCGATCAATACTAGCATATCCTAAGTCGCATGAAACTCTTCATATTTTAAAATAAAATATTTTTCATAATTGGGGTCACTTTAACGACTTGTTGTTTTAATTAAGCCGTCACAAAATAAATATTAGTATTCAAATTTAATATTTCTACAACAAACAATGGTTAAAACTGAAATTTCTGATTGCACTATAATATCCAAAATAACCCAAAATAAGGTTGTATAAATGATGCTATCAAAAATCGAAAACTCAAGTCTTTGATTGTTTCGGAAGAATTCCTTAAACATACATTTAATTCATGACTTCATAAATCACCAAAAAATTAACTAAATTCAAAATAATCAAATATTTAACAAAATGTCAAAAGTGTATACTAATTAATTAAAACTTTTCCAAAGATTTAATTTTTTTAATCAAACTAAATCGAATATATCAAATCCAAATATATTCTATAATTCATAATAGTTAAACAATCAAAACTGAATTTTTTAATCACGTCATAATTTCTGAAGTAACCCATAATAATATTATCTAAATGACATTATTAGAAACTGAAAACCTAAATATTTGACTATTCCTAATAAGCATACTATTATAAAGGAATAATTAAGAGCTTTTCAATCTAAAGTATACGTGTATAATATGCCCTTTAGATTTGCAAAACCTTAGTCGGTTAATATCCCAATTGCAAAATATAGCCTACTTTAGCAATCGATTATCCCACCATTAGAGAGAGAGAGAAATTATCGCGCGATTACAAGAGAAAATCAATTATACCATTTGTTAGCGCAACAGTAGAATTTTCGCATAATTACCAAACATAGGATTTTCAAGATTTAAAGCCATTATCGCAACAACAAAATATATATATATATATATATATATATTATAACCCTAAAATAAATAGATTCTTAATGATTTAATATATTACCAAACATAGCGATGATACCACTTGTTAGAACCGAAATCATAATAAATATGAACAACAACTAGAATCTAATCATACCAAATAATCAAGAATAAAATAAATACTAGATGCAAAAGCATACCTGAATTAATTGATAAATTGAAATCCTTGAATCTTTCTTTAGTTGTGATGTTCCAAGAAGATACAATTATATTGAGTATAAACTCTCTGACGTAGATAAGAGTAAATACAAGAATGTCTATTTCTTGGGGGACTATAACCCTTTATATAACTGATTTAAGAATCAATTATTGTCTATACTTATAACTTGATGTACTTATAACTTTGTCCCTCATCAAGTTATAAATACAACTTTAATAATATCTACACTTTTATTTCCATAACACTTTTAATACCTCATGACCTTATAACATAATTGATCACTTAATTTATGTCTAATTTTATGATAACAATATACATTATAAATATGTGTCTGTAATTATGATTTTAATCCAACAGCGTTTGACTCTAATCAGTGTTATTCAGCAATTAGGATCATTGCACTAGATATGACCGGAGCTGTCCTTGGTGGCATGGCTTTGGCATCCCCTAGTTGTATGGAAGCTGGTCTGGCCAAGATCCATGCTATTACTGTAGGGCTTTGATTCCCTTGTGACAATCGGTTTCAAGGGTATCCTTTGAATCTGACTCTATGGAGGTGGTCAACAAACTGACTCGTGTTGATACTGATATCTTTACCCTTAGGTTCCACTTGCAGAATGCGTTTGATTTTTTAGCCTGTAATATGGGTTTTCATGTCCATTAGATTTTTTACCCTCCGATTTGGAAATTCTCTGTTCTTTGATTTGGTTTGTCTCAAGATAATTGTTACCGATGTATCAAATGATATTCTTAATGAGTAATATATTTCGTGTGGGTAATCTTTCCTCTTGCTAGGATTTAGAAGTGGTTTTTAACGAGGTCCGAATTTTCAACAAAAAAAAAAGTTAAATTCTTGGTTAATTGTTTAACGGTCCTTCTGTTACTTTGTTTCTTGTAATTAACTCCTTTTTCATATGTTTAATTTTTATTTTTTATTTGCTCTCTTAATTTTCGCTCTTTGCAATTAGGTTTTGAGTACATGTTTTTTTATTAATAATTGGAACTTGTGGTTGTTTTATTCTTTTTTACTTGGTTGTCATCTCTCATATTTAGAATCTCTTTCAATTAAGTCTCTAATTCATAATTTGACTAATTAATTGAATTTGGCCTAAATTTTTAATTAATTCAATTTGGTCCTTAGTTGTTGTAATTTCTAATTAGCTCAATTTGATCATAAATTGTTTGATTAATAAGTTGGACTTAATTTCTAAATTAATGCAATTTGACCTTTAATTTGATGTTGGTTAAATTTCTAATTTTAGTTTCTTAATAAACTTTGATTTGGTCCTTAATTTGAAATTGATTATTAAATTTAACTTCAACTTCTTCATTAACTTCAATTCACCCCTAATCTAAGGTTTTTTTTCCTTATGAGAATCTAAGTTCATTTTCAATGATGTCTAATTTTTCATTTCATTTTTCACTAATTTCGTACTCATACTCGTTATTGGGGGTGCTTCAACCTTCCTCACGTGTAACTAATCTTGAATCTAACCGTGATACTGATGTAGATGCAGTGCAAACTTATGGGGTTTTGATCGTATATAGCGCAAAATGATCAATGGTGACTCCTACTACGTGACAAGCTCTTCAAAAACTCAATACATTCGAGCCACCACAAGATGACTTAGACAATATCTTTTTATTTTACAAATAAAATAATAATACAATGTTAATTATTTGTACCATGTAAGGAGACACGACTAATTATATGTTCCTTTATCCTACATGTTATAAAAGAGTGTAATTTTAAAAATTAATAATAAACTAGGTTAGGTTACACATATTTTTAAAAAAAATATTTTTAAAAAGAAAACAACTGCACCCAAATACCAAGTTGACAAATTGGAAAATATTATTTTAAAATCAAATTGCTTAAGAGCTTTGAAGCCTTTTCCAATATTTCTAGCCACTTTGATAAATATATTTTTTTATGTTTAAAAAGCAGGTTAGAGAAGCTTAATAGTAGGAGTAATCACCAAACGTCCATAATGTGAAATTTAGAAAAACTAAGGGGTTGTTTGTTTACTTTAGAATGATTAAGTGTTGAATGATTCAGATGCTCTGTATGAATTAACTCTGAATGTTGTATGTTGTTTAATAATGACTCTGAATCATTCAAAATGTACTTCTGTACTGAATCATTCAATACTAAATCATTCAAAGATACGAAACAAACGCATGGAATGATTCTACTAAAAGGTAAATAAACATCTCCTACATTTTGGGTTTGAGGCATCAAATTCAATCTATAGCCACTCAAAGGTATCCACGTAACACTCTCAACATTGAAGGGCCAATGTGAAAGATGTGGTCCCTTGACACCCACTTATCTACGATCACAATTTTTGAAATTAATAATTCATCAAACCAAGTAGATATTTTCATTAAACAAATCTAGGATCCAATAGTGCACCACCACTTGGCACAATCTACCATACAAAAACAAAATAAACCCTAAAAAAGCTAAGAAAAGTAGGAATGATGAGGCCCACCACAAACTAAACATAGAATGGCCACGTGAAACACAGCCTAACCACTGTACTGAACAACTTAATTTGATGACATGGCTAACTCTCATTGGCTTCTTCTTATACGGACGAAGCTGACGTGCACCTTGTAGGGATATAAAATGATATTTTAATCGAGCCCGGCGAGTGTCCGATTCTTGTATGCAACCGACAAAAATGTTCCGTGTCGTGCTGTTTTCATGTGACACGCTGGCTTTGTGGACACCGGGCACGGAGGTTGTCGGTAAAACTGCACACGTGTCTCAAACTCACACGGTGTGTATACGTTGTTGGTGCATCCACTTCTCCTCCTCATTGCGGGATCACAATGTTTTGGAATTTATTGTCTGGGTTTCTTTTTCTGGGATGTGCCTGTTTCTTTTTCCTCCTAATTTTACCAAAAGAAGAAATAGATTAGGTTCTCCACTTCCTTAGACTTAGGTCCTCCATTATTGTTATTACTATTATTTACTTTGTTTTTCTCTCTTTTTCGTTTAACTTTATTCTAGGGTTTTCTTGAGAGAGCTTTCAAGCACTGATATAGGTAACTAATTTTGGTTCTTCTCATCTGCAAAATCTAGGGTTTTTGTTGTATCTTTCATTTCAAAAAAAGTAAATTCCAGTACATCTTGTAAAGACTTTTCTCATGCCAAGAATTCTCAGTTACTCCCTTTCTATTTTTGGAAACCTTTTTTCAAAAAATTTGTACCTTATGGTTGTTTGGTAGTTGCCTATCAATATCAAATACTTTGTGTTTCTTAGGATTCAACCAAATTACACGTATTTTCTTTTCCTTTTTTCTGGGTTTCTCTGTGTTTAAGGATTCATGTATGGTTTTTGGTTGTAGGAGAAAATGGTGAGAGGGAAAACTCAGATGAAGAGAATAGAGAATGCAGCAAGCAGGCAAGTGACGTTTTCAAAGAGAAGGAATGGACTGCTCAAAAAGGCCTTTGAGTTATCAGTGCTTTGCGATACTGAAGTTGCACTTATCATCTTCTCCACTAGAGGGAAACTGTATGAGTTCTCTAGTTCTGGGTGCGTTTTCTCTTCATTTTTGCTTATATGAATAAGCTATTAAACTTGTTGATTATAGAGAGGCCCCGCTCTGCTAGGATAGTACTAAGAGTACATTGCTTATCCCAGGCTTTATAACATCGGGAACCTGAATCTCTGATCTATGTCCTTCTGGTTTATTAAAATCAACTGATTTAGTTCTGTTGGGCTTTCTTGTTACTCGCTGTTCTAAGTGAAAAGGAGAGAGATCAATATAATGGTCTATAGGGTCAATGTTTTGGGTTAAAATTTGCGCATATTGGTCACTACAGTTTAAGGTGTTTAGTCATATGGAAACAGGCTTACCCTAAGCTTAGCTTCGAAAATCTGCTTTAGCTTGTTGATTTTATGAGAATATCTCAAGTTTAAACCTTGGTTTATTCTCACTATTTCTTATAAGAGCTGAAAATGCCATAAAGCTTCGATTTTTGTACCGAAAAATAAAGAAAAGAAGAAGAGAAATCAGTAAGATAAAATTAGAAACCCGTAGACTGTTTCAGGGGGAGTCTTAGCTAGAGTTGAGTTTATACTTCGTGTTTCCATACAAGCTACTTCCACCATGGATCTAAATAAAAGTCCATCATCAAAATAATGATCATTATATAACGATAAAAATACTGTTTGAAATAATTATTGTACATACAATATCTTTAATAACCACAATAATATCCATTATTACCGTAATCGGAAGCGTAACCACAATCACAGTTTAATTTTTGGTGTTAGCAACAATTGTGCTTGTTTTAAGACTTCGTGCTTAATTATGACTAAGGTAGACAAGATATGACTCATCAATAATTGAGGCTACACTATAAAGTTACATAGGTAGACAACATCTGTTAATCTTGGGGGGGGGGGGACTTACTTGATCTAGTGCTTCTTTTCAGTCATTTGGATTTCATCTTCAAAACTACTAAAATGGTGTATTTAACTGCATGGAAATACTCATACATTGATTCTTCCATATTCGAGTAGGGTTTAGAACAGCTAAGATATTTTGTTGGACTACATAGGAAGAGCTGTTCCATTATGTATTAATATTTCTGATTGAATATTCAAAGTATGAATTAATATTATATCAATCAAATTTTCTCATTAACTTGAGTGATAGATGTCAACTTAAATATAATAATTACAAAGATAAATTGGATTTAACTTGTGTTAAAAATTAAAATATATTAAATTTTATAACTTTGGAACTAAGTGCCAATAAGGGAGTTTTAACCACTACTCCAAAGGGGTGTTGGCTAATTTTATTATGTTATTGTTTAGTTGAATATATGTTAATTAATAAGTCAGTGTTAATATCACCCTAACCAACAAATTATAGATATATATACCTTTATGTGAATTTACTTGAGAAGCTTAAAGTTTAGAGATCATAACGTTTTTCCATTTATTTAGATTTAACTTAATTTGGTCTTTCATATGTTAGAAGTGTTTATTTTTATTACAAGTTTACATGCATAAATGTTTTTTTTTGAATTAATCATTGGTATCTGATCTATTGAGTAATTATGAAATATCTTTGTTTATGGTTTAAGGTAAAATGCTTGGACATATATTCTAGTAGTTATGCATGGATATTTTTTCCCTTTTAAACAGAGGGAAAAAAATGGTCAGTAAAGGAGCTTTGCGAAAGGATAAAAAAAATGCCTGGACATATATTCTCGTTTTCTCCAAACTATGTAAAAGATTTATATGTAGAAGATTTTCTTTTTGAAAACGTAACACGCAGGCTTTACTTTTTAATGAAAGGGGAACATCCTAGCTGGAAACACCATTTCTAAATGCAGTGCTTTAATCTAGGCGTGATTCACACCATCTTCTTGTTTTCGATATAAATGTTATAATATCGGAACGATTATTGGTAAATAAGTAAACACATTTGAAACAGAAAAATAAAGAATACCAAGATTTACGTGGAAAACCCAAAAGGGAAAAATAATGGGTAGAAGAGAATAATTTCACTAATATGAAGGAAGAAAATATAAGAGGATTTTGGAGAAAGAAAACCTTAATATCTAACCTTTAGTCTTAGTATCTATTTTTAGGGATAAGATAACTTGATTATAAAGGAAACTTATAAAGTAGAAAACTACTTAAAGTAGATTTGATTTACATAAAAGAAAAAGTTTTTATTTCTAATCAAACTAGGTTTCTTATTTTTCCCAATTTATTTAATTAATTTGTGTTACTTTGTATTCGAGTCAAACTCTAACAAATCTCCATCTTTACACGAGTTCTGAAAGTGCAAAGGTTTTGGTATAAAACTCCTAAATTCTATGCGACACCAAAACTCAACAAAACAATTCTCCACTTCAACGAACACGTTCTCCACATCTTACACAACACCCCTAAAAAAGGTAATATTCAACAATTAACACCAACCGAATTCAAACTTTCTCTAAGCTTGGAGTTAGTCTTCACATCGAGATGATTATCATAAGTGTCAACATTGCTCACAAATATATCACCACGAGTAATATTATGCACAACATGATCTCGATCATCAATGATAATCTTCAAATTCGTTATGCCCATGAAATTGTACTCTCTTCTGCTTCACATAATAGTTTTGCTTACGATTATCTTGTTCAACAAAAAAAAATTGTTTTACCTAATTTAGTTAAGATGTTTTTACCAGAAACAATGTTATTTGGCACGAGGATGAAACAACAACTACATTATCTAAAAATATTAAATCCTCTGGAACATAAAACTTGACAGTCTTTCTCTGCCATTTCATCACAACAAGAGAGCCTTTGCAAATTTTCATAGCTCTGCCTTTATTGGATAATTTGTACCCTTTTGAATATAGGGTACCTAACGAAATTAGATTTTTACTCAAATTTGAAACATGTCTCACATTACCAAGTGTTCGAAAAATCTCATCAAACATCTTAATTTTGATTATGCCAATACCTGCAACTTTGCAAGGGACATTATTTCCAAAAACACATCACCTGTAGATACAACTTTATACGTTGCAAACTAGTCACGATTAAGACTCGTATGAAAACTGCTCCTAGAGTCCAATATCCACTCATCACTTGTTATAGAGTTGTCGTTAGCCACAATTAGGAGTTATTCATCATCGCACTCCTTTGCTACACCGAGCTCACCAGATTTTCCAGAGTTTTGCTCTTTAGATTCTCTTTTGATTTTATTCTGTAATTTGTAACACTTTGATTTAAAATGACCTTTCTTTTTTACAAAATTGACAAGTTTTACCTTAGTTGGATGGTTTTAATCTACCCCTTCCTTTACTACTAGAAGAACGCTCGCCTTTTCTTCCACGATCTAAGCTAATCGATCCATGCACCACGAGACCCTAAGTCTGGGACTCGAAACCAGATACAAGATGCTTCATCTTATTAAATAAGTGCAGACCATTGTATACCTCTTCAAGAGTGAGTGTTTCACGACTATACTAGATTTTGTTTCTGAAAGATGAGTAGGAAGAAGGCAGCGGACGTAGGAAGATCAATTCTAAGTCTTTTTGGTCATGCTTCACTTCTAAAGTCTCCAGATCAGAGATAATTTCTTTGAATGCGGTCAGGTGCTCTTCAAGAGACGAACCTTTCTCCAACTTGAGCGAATAAAGATGTTGCTTTAATTGCAACTTGCTGGTAAATGATTTTTACATGCATTTCACCCACAAAGAAGCACTCATTTTTTTCCTTTCAATACGTCTTGTAAAATTTGATTTGATAAGTGTAAACGAATCTGACAAGGGGCTTTACGATCCTTACGCTTTTCCTCATTCGTCTATTGTGTTACCGGATTCTCATCAAATCTTTCTATTCCATCGTCTAGACCTAATTATGTAAGAACATCCTGAATCTTCACCTGCCATAGCGAGAACATGGTGTTTCGATTCAACTGCGGATATCATACTTCATTGTTGTCATAATCTTGAACTCCAAGCTCTGATATCAATTTGTTATAATATTGGAATGATTATCGACAAACAAATAAACACAATCGAAGAAAATATAACACCAAGATTTATGTGGAAACCCCAAAAGGAAAAAACCATGGCTAGATGAGAAGAATTTTAGTAATATGAAAGAAGAAAATACAAGAGAATTTTGGAGAACGAAAAACTTGATATCTAACTCTTACCCTTAGTATCTATTTATAGAGAAAAATATTTGATTACAAAGGAAACTTTAAAGTAGAAATCTACTTAAATTAGATTTTCTACATAAAATAAAAAATAAGTTTCTACTTCTAATCAAACTAGATTTCTTACTTTTTCCAATTAATTTAATTAATTTGTCACTTTTGAATTCAAATCAAACTCTAATAATAAATCTTTTTTATTCCTCCTTTTACATGATTGTAAGAAGATATGTGCCTGATTTTCCAGATATTTGAGTTCATTTCTAGCCCTTAAACATTTGATGTTATTAATTGTGGAGTTGTTTCAGCATGAACAAAACCATAGAGCGGTATCAGAAGAGAGAGAAGGAAATTCGAATCAAGCACAAGCTAGCACCAGACCAAAATCTGCTGGTACCTATCTCTGCATTCAATCTTATTTGTAAAATACGAATCGAACGAATTCAGTAGTTAAGGGTAATTGTTATTCTTAGAGGTTTCGGGTTCGAGTACGATGTCTATAGGGCTTTTTTAAATCATACCTAACATTTAGTTTAGTTTTCAATTTGATGTCTTGCCCTTAAAAACTTAGCAACAATAATGATGTGGAATTATTCTCTTTTTTGATATTCCACGTCATAAGTGTCGTTAAGTTTTTAACGGCGGTACTATATTGAAACTTAAATTAAACACTAAAATAAAAGAAAAGTGATAGTTTAGGTGCTAAATTTGTAGTTTACCATAAAAAATACTAGTCCATAAAATTTGGAAACTTAAATACGACTGTCCATGCAAAAACTAACGATGATTGAGCTTGTGCATGAAGAATGACAATGAAGACGCTCAAAGCTTGGTAAAGAAGATTGAATTACTCGAAGATTCTAAACAGTTGAGTCCTTAGTTTAAAACAAAAATTGCAGATTAGTACTTTCTGTCTTTCCATCAATATCTGAACTAACATATTTTGATTTTTTAACAGAAAACTATTGGGAGAGGGATTGGAACCATGTTCTTTCAATGAGCTACAACAGTTAGAAAACCAGTTGGAACGAAGCTTATGCAGAATAAGGGAAAGAAAGGTACATGTATATACAATCAAATTTACATGCATGCATTAACGTTTCAAGTTCGGTCTAATTCTAGTTTTAGCCCCTTTATTATGTTGAAATTTTTAATTTGACATAAATTAGTCCTACCACTTTTTATAATGCTATTAGTTGGTAACACCATTAATTATGTTGAAACTTAGGAGTTAACCCATCTATTTTAGTTTGGTATAAATTAGTTATACTTTTATAATACTACTAGTTGATTTAAATTAGCAACACACGAGAACCCATCAAGTAATCTCAGTTGTTTAAGGGAACATTATTCTTCTAGAGGTCATGGGTTAAAGTAACTATGTATGCGGGTGTTTGTTGTCTCTGACTAAAAAGATTCTGAACTAACACAATTAGAGTTACATGATGACATGGAAATCACAGTAAAGATATTGTGGAAATCTAATTGTTAGGTTTAATTAATACTCCATTTTAATAAATTTAATTATTTTTATTTTTAAATTCTCTCTTTCAAAATATCATTTTAAAAGGTAAATAAATATTAATATCCCTATTTCTTTAGTCACCCTTTCACTTTTTTAGGAGTTGATTGTTATTTTAATCATTATGTATCACACATTGGGAACTTTTACTTCTTAGTCAAAAGTGAATTTTTTACTTTAGCGAATGTTTAAGATTTCTTTTTGACTAAGTTTAAGGATTTTTCTAAACTTTAACGACAATAAAAGTCAATGTAACTAATTTGAACCCACTAATAACATCATAAAATAAATAAATTAAGTTAGCCACATTGTTATTTAGGGTAACTACTTATTTGGTCACACAATTATTATTATTTTTGAAATTATACCTAACGTTATGTTTTGGTTCTATTTTAATCATTCGCCCTTAATGGTGATGTTTTTTTTGGTTAAATCCATTAACGGTGATGTTGACGTAGTTTTTTTAAATTATTTTTAATACTGACATGATATTACTATATGGTGACACATCAACAACATCGTTAATTTTTTTAACAGTGATCAAAACATAACCAAAACGTAACGTTAGGTATGATTTTGAAAAATAATATTTAGATAACTAAAACAAAAACTAAATAATAGGTGGATGACTAACTAGATAGTTTAAGTGTACCCTATTATTTATTATTTTTATTTTCATTTGGGTTCACGGCCCTACTAATCGTATAGCGTTTTTCAAACCGGTCTCTCGATTGGTTATGGACAGTTTCAAACAACTACGGTTAAAATCATAATTAAAATGTTAAAAATTATAACTTATTAAGCTACTTCAGTGATTAAGAAGAGTATTATTATTTTTTTAAAACTTTTGAATTCAAGTAGCTATGTCTGAATAGTGTGTATATATTATCAGTGATTAAGAAAGATTTTAAACACTTTTTAATCAATCAAACTATTAAAGAATATGTTCAAATTTAGATGAGTTACTGATTAAGGTTCCTTTGGTTTTGGCATGTTTAGAATCTATTATATCGCGAGCAGATTAAGAAGTTAAAGGAAGAGGTAATTAATCAATTTTGTGAATTACCTTTATTAATACTCTTCTTTTTTTTTCACTGCGGTTAACTTTTAATTACATTTGATGGTTAAAATATTCAGGAGAGACGTCTCGAGGAGGAAAATGCAAAACTACGACAAGAGGTTTGTGTTTTTACATATTTATTAGGCCAAATTATGGTTATAATCCTTTTACTATACTTAAATTTAGGATTTACCTACCAACTTTAATTTTTTGATTCATCTACTTTTATAATAAAAGATTGTTAATTAATTAATTAATTAGTGTAGTAATTTAATTCATCAATGATTTTTTTTATTAAATTAGTATGGGATGAAACCATTACAATTGTCAACGAGTATGGAAGAGGAAGGAGAGGAGACGACGGAGGTGGTGACGGAATTGTTTATCGGACCACCAGAGAGGAGAGGTATAACAAAAAACCTAGTTTGCTAAATAGTAGTTTATTATCTTAATACATTATGAATGGAGCTTCAAAACATTCCAAACAAATTGAGAATATGATTTATATAGGAGCTATAACTAAATAAGGATGGAATTGCAATAAAACTTGTGATTTAATGCGTGGAACATCAGTTATTTGTAATATAGCAGAAGAATATTATTGTTATTGGTCTTCTATTAACTAACTGCAAATTTGATGATATATTGTTAATAACCCATCACTAGCAATATATATATATATATATGGATTTTCTTGCACAATGTAAAATTCTTTTAGTTTTAAATTTAGGACTACATGGTTGAATGGGAAGATATTTACTGGAAAAAAAGATTATATATATATATATATATTCTTGTTAAGTTGCCTGTAGAAAAAAATATATACTATTGTTCAATTGATATAAAATATTTTATTATTATTTAAAACATATTTAATATTATCTGAATATCATTTATGAAATTATTATTTTTATTAAATGTGTATCAAATAATAATTCTATATATATATATCAGATTAGTTAGGGACGAATCTGCTGTATACATAAGAGGGGCTATGCCCCAACAAGGTATTTTTTTTACATTTAATTTATATACAAAATTTAAATATTTATGAGATAATTATGAATTGTCCCTTCTACTTTACAAAATTATATTTTACCCTCTTGAGTTGGATCTAATCCCCGTTCTTAAGATCATAGTATTTGATTTATATATTTTGGGTGATAATGGTATTCCTATTTTAATTTAGTTGAAATTTTCAAGTAGAAAAAGGAATTTCAAAATTTGTGAACTCTATAACTTAAAAGGCTAAAACAAAATATAAAATCAAGGCATGGCTGCTGATATTTTTCAAAACACAACTATTCGTTTGTTCTTTTAAAAAAATGCTATTCGTTTATATAGTGAATAAAGTATGAGGTCCTGTACCTACAAAATTAAAAGTTGAATCTTCTAGTTTTTTAGATCATTTACTTTCATCTGCCATCAATACATCAACATAAGTATACCAGAAACTTTTTTTAATACTCTTAGATGATTAGGGATGTGTAAATCACCTGATTTAATTTGTTGATTTGTTGATCTAATGTGAAAATTTAGATATCCATTCCGCTTTTTTGTTTTTTTGGGAGAATTTGGATCAGATATTCGAAAAAGTTGAATGGATATAGATCAGATAAATTCTAATTTTGGATTATCCAAAAAATTTTAAAAAAATTGTGCCTTTAGATTTTAGATAGCATTTAGCTCGCACAAATCAAATTATCTCAGTGGTTAATGGAACGGTTGTTATTTCTAGAGGTCTTAGGTTTGAGCACTCTAGTATTTGAACTTTCATTGTCAAATGATTGAGAGTCTTTAGAATATATACTGTCACTTGTAAACACCTTTTAAAAAAGAATGAAAAGAAAAAGATAACATTCAGCACAATAAATGAATAACATAGTAACCTATTAAATCTCTAGCCTAATAATAATTAGGATATTTAATTATTTATTATGAGTAAACAATTAAATATATAACATATAGTATTGGTGTCAAATAAGTTACATAAAGTCATAAAATATAAATTTTAAAACTATTTTTGTCAAATATCTGATTTTTTCATATCAAATCCGATATCTGAATTTGTACACTCCTAAAAGTGATTAAGCGTAATATATATTCAAAAATTTCTTAATAAAGTAACGACGTAAACACGTCTTAGATATGCAATTACTCGAGCACAAAACTTCCAAAGAAAACATGTATAAATGTCCTATACAACTTCGTCCAATGTGCACGAATCAAGTGGTCTCCGTGATAAAGGAACGGTTATCGTTCCTTGAGACCTGGGTTCGAGCACCGAGAACATCAGGGGTGTGAGCGTTCAATGTTAAAAGGTTGAGAGTTATCTTAGAACAAATATTGCATTGTACTTACCCATATCAATAAAAAAAAAATCCCTAGGTGAAAGCCTAACGAGAGAGCCGAGAGGAAAGGATTTGAAATCCCATAATCAGGAAATGTTCCCCATTTTCACGTGTTTCTGTTTAATTGCTTTCTTAAATAGAAGGTTTTTAAATCTCCTTCAACAATTAGCACATCAACAATAATCACGACATCAACAACATTAAAAGAAATTACTTCTAAATTGTTAAAAGATGTATGTTGTAAAACAATATTATTAGTATTGACTAATAAGTAATAATAAAAGAATTAAAAAATAATAATATTATAAAAGTCACTGTCTTAGAAATAATTTTGTTGGATGATGTTGTAATACTCATTTTTGTAGAATTACATTTGGAAGCCAAATTAAATTAATTAACAAAATAATAAACCAAAAAACTTTTGTCAAAAAATCAGAATAAGTCCAAATGACCCAATGTCCAAATTAAAGGACCATTACAAGCCCAACTATACACGTTTTAGTCGTGTTATGTTTTAGTCTTTTATGCTAGTTTATTCCAGGTTATGTTGCTTTCTACATTTTGCATGTATTTTTTTATTACTTTTCCAGTCCTAATTTATATTTATGCGTTTATTTACATTTTCAATCCCTGTATTTCATGATCTTTACGTGTTAATACTTGTTCTTTTTCATACTTTCTATTGGGACCTTAAAGTTATTTTTTTGTCACGACATTTTATTTGTTTGGTGCGTGTATTGCTTATATATATTATACTGTATTGATTTCGTATACGTTATTACATTATTTTACCTTATATGTATCTGTATATACGTGATTAATATGCTTACCTTTCCACTATGCTTTTTTTATATATATATATATACTTAGCTTATAATTTCTTTTTTATATAATTTAGTCACATTATTCTCCATTATATATATATATATATGATACTTGAAATTTCTTAATGTAATTTTTGTTTTGTGAGGGGTACCTATGGGAGTCTCCTAACTACAAGGGAGTACATTTTTTAGGGTGGTTTGCGCTCCATGTTTTTATTCAAATGTTTTTTTTAATATAATGTTATCTCATTTTTAATATTAAATAAAATCAAGACAATGTCTTTTTGTGAGGAGAATCAATGAAAAAGTCTCCCGACTATAAGGGAAGCGCGTTTTCAAGGATTGTTCGTACAAAAAGATCTTTTTTATGCAAAGTTTTTAGGGTAAACTACATTAGATACCACTGAACTATGTACGCTTACTCGTTTATATAATTGAACTTTTAATTTTGTTAATTTTAACACTGAACTTTAGTTTTACATTCAATTATGTCACTCCGTTGAGCACTAACGAGATGATGACATAGCTAATGATTGATGACATGACATGCCACACAATGTTGTTTTAGTGTGGCTATTTTGATGGTTAAAATGACGTCGTATTAGACACTAAGCATTTGGGTGTATCGATTTTAGCACTAAACTTTTAGACTATTTTCTTTTTTACCACTACATTTTCCAATTGCCACCGGCAACAAAGTTTGCCGTTCATCGGTCATATGTCGTGGCAATATCGATATCAAAATGTTCATATTTCACTCTTATTTCTTCTTATAGGATTGGTTTTCCATGAAACTAACTCAAAATTGACAAAAAATCATTTAAAAGTTAAACGTATTAATACTCCAATTTTTTCAATGACTAGCTGATGAGGCTAGTTTTGAGGTATGTTGTTCATATTCTCGAAATAATGCTTTTCATCGTTTAGTTTTTTTAGCAAACACCTCAAAGCCCGTAAATATAATAAAGTCTCCAAACATAAAAATGGTAGATTTTTTATGTTTAATTTCATCGATTTTGAGTGAGTTTCATGGAAAACTAATCATATGAGAAGATTGAAGAGTCGAATGTGAAAATTTTGATACTGATTTTGTTGTGAAAGACGATCGGTGATGGGCTACAATTGGCTACCGATGACGATTAGAAAATACAGTGGTAAAAAAGAAAATTGTTTAATAGTCCAATGGCATAATCGATGCATCCTAAAGTTTAGTGACTAAAATGACATCGATTTAGGCATCAAACAATTGCACCAAAACAACGTTATTTGGTATGTCATGCCACGTCAGCGATTGTTAGCCATGTTATCATCCTGTTACTTACTTAATGACGAAGTAGCATAATTGAATATAAAACAAAAATCTAGTGTTATAATTGATAAATTGAAAGTTCAGTGGTATAAACGAGTCAACAAACAAAGTTAATGGTATCTAGTGTAGTGTATCCTTTTTTATTTTCAAAATATAGTATTATACTATTTTAATATTAAATAAAAGTCAAGGTATTGCCTTTTTGATCGAGAATCCATTAAAAAGTCTCTCGATTACAAGGGAAGCACGTTTATGAGAATTATTCGTACAAAAAGGTACATTTTTTATTCAAATGTTTTTAAATTATATTTTTATATTAAATAAAAAATCAAGGCAATGCCTTTTTGTGTAGAGATCCATTGAAAAAGTCTTCTGACTGAAAGGGAACCACTATTTAACAAAACATTTGTTATTATTATTATTACTATTATGGTATCGATTCAACAATAATGATTTCAGATGACATATTTATTGTATATAACAACCACTATTTCGATAGCGAACTACTATTTAAATTCTTGTTTGTCTCATTCATAATTTAATCCTGGCTCCGTCACTGCTCACGCTTAATCGATTCACAAACTCTTTTCAAAATAAATGTCTGGTTAACGCGTGTTATTTTCTTCTTTGAAAATAATCTTTCTCAATTTTCTTTAGGTGCTCAACCTACCTAACCCCAAGGTCAATAATGAATCTAAATTATTTGTTTTTCCAAACTTGAACTTCACCCCTTTGAATTTCTAAAGATTAAGTCAAACTTCTCCTTCACCATCACAAGGATTAAGGATCATGTCGACAATGTAATTTTGAAAGTGGGTATTGTAACACCCTAAACCCGTTTGGGCCTAAAGTGCCACGTTGGGCTACTAAAACAACCATTGATTTTCAAAACATGTTCATTTTCTTTTCAAACATACTGAATGGTATCATAAATAAACATTTTACAAACCGTAGCTCCGTGACACATAATTTAAATAAAATATTACATACTTTCCTTATAAAATCTGAATACATGAGTAAGGTTATATGAATACATATACCTACTAAGCTATGGTACAATACTCTAA